GCTTTAATGCGTTATGCAATAAGAGAAATTGAGACAGTTTTCCTATCTCGTGTACCAATATGTAGTTTTATTCATTAACGTCAATTGGCTTAAATGGCCGTTAATTTGAGTAAATTATACCGTGTCGGGTGTCGGGTACCTTCATACATAGCCGTTCGTTACACGCTTGCCACGGCGTGGTAGTTGCTCTCCTGTTGCTGCGTATACATTCGACACAAAACATATTAAATCAAATTGCACGGATTCTGAGAGTTGACATGGATGACATAACATTTCCTGGTCTGCGCTTTGACTCGTTTATTTATGAAAACTTTGTTGTACATAAAAAGCGGACTTAACGCCTTAAGGTTGTCTACCCGTCAACCTATAAGTAAGAAAAAAAAAAAACACTACTTTGGAGATGCAATATGATTGGAAAGAGGAAGAATTAAGGATCAAAGAAATAACTAGTTATTTGTTACTACACTAATTTTCCAATCACTTTATTATTACAGACTCAGTGAAGCACACAGTAGTGTGGTCTCTAGTCCTCGTACTCTGTGCTCTCTGTAGGCAAATTGTTTTGTAATTTTCACTTAAAGTAGTAGTAAAACGTAGTAGTGGTGTACTAGATACATAAATGGTAGTAAGATTCATTTTCTACCTTGTGGAGGAGTACGCCTGGGTAGGCCACCGTCTTAGTTTCTGTCAGCAAGCATCCACTGCACCGTAGTTACGTAATCCTTTGGCTGGCTTAATGTTATTATTACACGTAGTAGAACCACTATGGTTGTATCACGAATTGGACGGCTCGACCGGGGAAGGACCACGCTCTCACAGAATACTAGCGTAAAATAGCAGCTTAATACTGCTGTGTTTCGTATGGTGAGTAGAGATGCGGAGACCCTTTTTTACTGGAAACGAGGCATTCCATCTTAGTCCTCAGGGGTGAAAACGCATCAGCGTTTTGATACTTAATCGAGAATAAATGTAGAGGGCTATGGGCCTCAGCATCCATTTACCATCAGGTGGACTGTGTGCTCGTTAGTCACCCTTATTCAATAAAAAAAATCAGACTTGGTAAAGTTTAAGTAAAATTCATTTAAAGCTTTATATTCCTTTAACATATAGGTTCGTGCTCAAAATGCTGGATAAATTTTTAACGCGATTCATTGCTGTAATATACTCCACTGTTTTAACGAATGTGTTGTTATATCACAATAATAATTTGTTTTTAGCAGACTTTAAAAAGAGGAAAAGATTTACATTTCGACTGTATGTTTATTTTGTATGTACGTAACGCGATATATTCGTCGATATTTTTCTGATTTCTAATTATTATTTTTTAACAAAAAAGCGTAATTCTTCAGGGATGGACTCAAATGAATTTAGAGAAAAAAATCCACCCCTAAAATAAAGGAATAAGGTTAAAATATAGGAATAAGTTTTTAATACAACTATATTAGGACGACATTGAATATAAAACTATTTTTACGAATTTTATCGCGTTTAATTTTACTTATCACTGGGCTGACTGGATGGGTTTGATGTTTCGACGTCATAGTGAACCTGTAATACTTTCAGTTTTTTATCATTAATTTTGGTCCCATCTACGCTGACTGAGCTTACTGTATCTTAAAGTCCCGCAGTAGTAGGCTTTGATATAATTTGATTAATTACGTACAGGATTCCAAGCAGGTGGTAGTACCCAGCCGCCTTGTCTGTCGAAATAAGGATATTTTTAATTTTAATAGCCTTTTGTTCTCCTTTAGCTCTCAGCTGACGGAATGTCTGTAGTCTGTGATCATATCTTAGACGGCCCACGCCATTACATCAAAGTTGACAGACCTCAAATCTTCGCGAAAAACAATGATTTCTACCAGGAATGACACGTAAGGCATTTAAAAAAAAACCTTATTTCAACTCATTTTTGTCCGTGCTACATGATATCTTCTTCAACTGTGATGTGTCGCTTTTAATGATTGTTGTTTTACACAATACGCTATACTTCAGTGTCCCATATAAATTTGGAGAAAAAACTCGATCAGAAAAAAGAGTGGAAAAAACGAGGAAGTTTTAAATGTAACTATTTAGACGACAATGTAGTTGTTTGTTTCCGCTTGTAATATTTCAGGAGGAAGTCCACTCAAAGGGTCAAAAATATAATTGTCGACTATAAAGAACTAACAAGTCGAGGCCTTTTGCATACATCGAACGCGAAGCGGAGATGTAGTGCTCTATTGTCACCAAATCAAAAAATCGCGATCAACTCCACTTAAATCACTTCCGCCAGCTTTATATTGAAATTATAATAAAAAAGTACACCAATAGCAAGAGGAGATTTCAATTAATACTTCTGACTTAGTTATAAGTTAATTTATTTCGCTTATTATTAAAAATAAGTTAATTGAAAATAATTTCACTTGGACGTTAGTTGGTCGGTATGGATTTGAACAAGATATCTTTCGAAAAACTTAACTTATCACTGATTTTTTTTTATTAGCTTTAGATTTTAATCCTTAGGAAGCGTTTTGAATTTCACTATTGTAAACGTTCCCGTTCATTATTATTTGATGTTTTTTTCGGTAACTAAATACGAATCACCGGAACCGAGCAGTAAAAAAATTCGAAATAATTAATTACAAACAATTTTTTGTAGCTTTTAACGAAATATGTGTTTCGATAGTAACAATAGTAAATTGATTATACAAAACATTAAATGAGCTTTCGAGGCACTGTGTGCACTTTTGGATTTTCCAAATTATTTTTATCCTTTTATATATGTCTTTTGTAAAGCTATTATGTGGAAAATGGAAATTATTATATTCTTTTTTATTATCTAGTATGCTTTTTACCGACGTGAGATCTAATGAGTTTATACAAATGTGTTTTTCATTCAAAACTTGAATGTCGAGTTGTTCAATGCTAACCAGTTATTTCTTGCAGTTTTTGTTCATAATATGTTTATTGAATAATGACTCTCCACGTCAAAATATCTATGACTATACTTTTTCATTTAGCACGTATTCCTAAAACTAATATAGTATTTTTTCTGTGACTTTTTTATTGACATTTACGACGAGCGTTTAGCTCCTGAGGCACTACAACTGTTCATAAAATATTTATTTTTCATTTAAGTCTGCTGAACAGAGGCCTTCATCATAGATTGCATCATAAGGGGAATATGTGCCATAGTTACAACGCTTGGCAAGCGACCTGGCAACCGCAGTTTTTTTTGGTTATTATAAGTAAGATACCCATCTCCTGTTTTAGTTAATTCTGTTCCTTCGTACGGCATCTACGCAATGATTAAAATTTGTAATTTCTGCTATTATCTTATGCGATCTAGATTGTTGAAAGAGAACCAACTATCCATTTAGTAAATAATATGTCCGATTTTTTGTTTAAAATAATGTACAGAATTTATGTAAATATACAACAAATGGTTTGAAAACTTTTCGTCGACTCGACTTGGGAAGGATCACGCTCCCACAGAACACCAGCCTAAAATAGCGGCGTAATGCTGCTGTGTTTCGTATGGTGAGTCCTGAGTGGTGACAACGCATCTGTATTTTGATTCTGAATCGAGGTTAAATGTAGATGTCTATGGGCCACAGCATCCACTTACCATCAGGTGGCCTGTGTGCTCGTTTGTCACCCTTATTCTATTAAAAAAAAATTGCTATAGTTGCCAGCTATGGCGGGCTGGTTGTTTTTATTTTTTTATATTTTAGTTGTTATTAGAAACACACTGTTTACCATCTCCTGGTTTGTATTACTCTATCGCTTCTAACGACTCACACAAGACGAGGTATGAGGTAGTGGATATTCGCACACAGCCACTATACGATCATATTATTATCACGTGACGGTCGCATATATTCATCTTATTAACACAAGAAATGAAAAATATATCAAGGACACATTTATTTATTCATTTTTAAATGTAATTGCCTTAAAATAAAAGGTTACGTTACATTGGAGTAGACTTAATTACGCTATGGTATTATCTGCTAGTCGACCCTGGGAGACGTGAAATGTCACCAGCTGTAAAGTGACGGAACAATTGAAAATATATTAATATAAATGAATGAAGTTTACATTATTTATTTTTACCGAGAACCAGGTCAATTTGCAATATCGGGGATCAACGTCTGACAATAAGGTTGATATCATCATCATCATTACAACCCATCACAAGTCCACTGCTAAACATAGGCCTCCCACAAGGAGAATCCTACTTACTGCATATCTTAACAGGGTATCACTCCATCTAGTTGGGGACGGCCCTATACTTCGTTTACCGGTACGAGCCTGCCACTCGAGAATCTTACTTTATATTATGTGAAGTCAGCTGTTGCTCCACAGCCACCAACCTGCCTGCCCAATACAGTATACGCAAAGTTATGTACGCCGACCGTGGTAGCTAGTTGGCTAAGTGCTTGCTATAAATTTGACAGTAAGCGAGCAAGCCGGGTTCGATCCTAGCCGGTACAAATGAAATTGTTAATTTTAAGCTCTGTTTTACCACGTGCAATCTGCATGTATGAAAAATTTTTTTTTACAGACATATGAAGTTCGCCAATATGCATTGAGGCAGTGTGGTGAACACATCTTTGCTTAACCTGTTAACTTTTGGGTACGCCAGACATTTGGCACATTTATAAAAAGGCATATATATGTCCAGTGTTTCGTTTTTTGAGAATAACGAGCAAACGGTCCACCTAATATTAAGTGGCTACATTTATCCTCGATTGAGAATCAAAATGCAGATGCGTTGTCACGCCTGAGCACTAAGGTGAATGCCTCATCTCCAATAAAAGGGGTCTCCGGTTCTGTATACGCACCATACGAAACACAGCAGCATTGAGCTTCTTATTTACGCTGATATTCTGTGAGAACATGGTCCTTCACCGTTTGAGCTGACCCATTCGTGCTACAATCATAATGTTGCTGCAGCTGGGCTCTACCACGTATAGCGCATTTTATTCAGGAAGGCTGATGCAGGTGTGTTGTTGCAGGTCGACCGGCAACTTCGCGGGCGCGGCGGGTGGCGGGTGCGGGGCGCCGCGCTCCGCGCCCGCCACCCCGCTGCAGCTCGAGTCGCACCCGCGCACCACCAAGCACGACAAGTAAGACACCATTACTAATGCTATACTAGTACTATGCTAGCCATTTTGTTACACTTTATCTACGATAACATTGTGTTATGTTTAACGCTTTATTTCTTAAAAAATTATTATTATTATTATTTTTTATTTCTTTTTTATCTCCCGTTTTGAGGGGTAAAGAAAGATATATTCAGCGGGCTTTACACCAAGCTAAAATGATATATCTTATGAGTATCGAAGCTGTAAATAAATAAAAATGTGATCTTACTTCTTCTTATCATAGGACAAAAATTTACCCACAATCCTTCAGGTATTTAAAATAACAGCTTTCTGTAATTCTACGTATATTGAAGAGTGTAACTGAAGTAATTTTAGACTATTATGTAAGGATTTTGGTACTACTCCAGTAGCCGAAATGACAATAGGAACCACTTTTACGTCTTTGGCCTGCCATTGACTTTTTATTTCCATTGTCAAATCGACGTATTTTGTAATCTTTTCAGTGTATGTTTGACTTAGATTGTGGGTGTTTGGTATAGCTATATCAATAAGGTAAACAGATTTGTTACTTTTATCAAATAAAGTTAAGTCCGGTCTATTATAGTGAACAGTGTTATCAGTTATTATGGTTCGATCCCAGTACAATCTAAAATTAGCGGATTCTAAAATTACTTCAGGTATGTATTTATAATAAGCAACTCTGTGTTTAATTAGTTTGTGATAATACGCTAATGATTGATGTATAATCGATGCAACCTGATCGTGTCTGTGCTTATAATCGGTTTGTGCTATTGCTTTACATGCCCCAATAATGTGTTGAATAGTTTCAGAACTACTTTGACATCTTCGACATTTATCGTCCTATAGATTGATTTCTTTTATTATGTGCTTGCGCTAATTTTTTGTCTCAATAACCTGGTCTGTGAATTGCAAGCATGAATCCTTCTGTTTCAGGAAATAATTTACCGCGTTTTAGCCAGGCGTTGGAGGCATCTTTATCTACGTTTGAATCCATCAAGTCAAAACGGTGGCGCCCATGTAGAGATTTTTGTTGCCATTTCTGCACTTTCTCCTGATTTGTCTTCTCAGTCAATTCTACATTAGTTTCTGAAAGGTTAAGAGGAGTGAATTTTTTGTCAGCTTTTACCATAGTCTTATGTAACGAAGATTCGTGCGATCGTAAATGAAAAAATGCTCTCAGTGAAATTATTTGTTTATTATGTAAGTTCTGAACGTCTATGAGTCCCCTTCCTCCTTCTCTTTTGGGCAATGTCTGTCGCTGAACACATGAGCGTGGATGGTGTTTTCCATATTTAGTCATAGTGGTGTTAATTATTCGTTGTAATTTTCTTCTGCGACCATTTTATTATTCCAAAAGAATAGTTTAGTGCAGGTATTGCGAATGTGTTAATGGCTTTAATTGTGTTTCGGGAATTCAATTGTGTATTTAATATTTTATGCAATCTCATTTTAAATTGTCGTGTTAATGTAGACTTAGTTATCCTGTGATGTATTTGTTGCGATTGTTGGTAAAACTAAGATGTTCGTTTTATAGTCTATAGCCACGGATTTAGATGTCTGTGGTTGTAGGTCATTTTTTTACAGAAGGATGTGTCAGGAGGAGCTTAATGTGTTGTTTTTGTGAAAATTATTCGTATTAAAATACCTATATAGTGGTTTATCTGTAAGACTAGACTGTAAGAGAATTAGCGATGTTTGTTATAATTTTGTATAGCTAGGGAATTTCCCCGGGTAGCTTGTTGTAGCGTACGAGCGAAGTTCGGTAAGTTTGTATATTTGCACATATAAATAAAATAGAAGTATCTATTCGGTCTGTCCGTCTGTCTATCTGTTCGGGCTAATTCTCGGAGTAGCTGAACCGTTTGCGATGAAACTATGATATTTTATCCGAAAAACTTGTAGTATTCTTTTTGGATAATCAAAATTGATAAAGAATATTATGGTCTTTCATTTTCTTAAATCAAAATACCGCCACATTGGTAGATCCAATCCGGGCGAAGCCAGGCGGGTCACTGGTTTTTATATATAATTGAAAATGAACTAAAACTTGAGTAGTATTGAGCTTTTAAATAATGTATTTTAGTACTTATTTATGTGATTTTACTTACAATAACACTTTTCGTTGGAGATTGTCTTCCTGTTCAATGCACACTGTACAGAGCGCTTTGGTAGGCTAACTATGAACATGCTTCCCCCCCCCCCGCGGCCTGTTTTGTCTGTGCCTTCCCAGCCCACGAATTAAAATAAAATTATTATGATTTTTATATACCTAGGTACTTACTGGCTTTTTACCTCGCGGTTTCGCCTACATCAAATTTTCCTGATAGTAAGTGTCGATCATTGCCCATGGCAACTACAACCCCAGGGAAATTTCAGGTGCCTTGCCGGCCTTTTTAAAAGGAGTAAGCTCGTTTCTTGAAGGTTTTTAAGTCGTATCAGTCCGGAAAAATTGCCGGCGGTAACTGATTCTACAAAAAAGTCGTGGTGTACCACCAGGCATCCAGATGGTGTAGATGATATCGTAATTTGATGGCTGGAATTAATCCGAATTATTTGTCTAAGTACTGCTCGTTAAAAATGTGCTCTTCGCAGCGCTAGTAAATCGAGCCCATCAGAAAGGACTCGGTCGTCGACGATGACAGCCACACATCGCTGGATGTGGTTAGTGAAAGGAGCTGGCACTGGGGTGCCCCAGTCCAGAGATGAGAACAGTACCCATGTGAGGGCAAACTTGCGCCTTGTAAAATTGCAAACAGTGTGCCGGCATGAAATACTGTCCCGCTCTACTGAGCACGCCAAACTTTAGAGGCCAATTTAGCCTTTCTTGTCAAGTGACCGCGGACTGCACGTCATTTGATATGTTGATGCCGAGAATTCCGATGCTGGCTGAGACAGCATGAGAAGTGCCCTGAAATTAAAAAGATACGACAAAAGGGTTCTTTTGAGCTATAAAGGTGCAAGCCTGTGTCTTCTGAAGTTTAAACTGGACTAGAGTCGTCCCCAGTCCGAGATTTTGTTTATTACATACTCAACTTTAGGCTGAAGTTTGTTCCGATACTCGCTGAAGTGTAGGTACTTAAAAAATATTAGCACGGCCGGTATAAAAAGCGTCAGTTTTAGAACCAGTTACAGCAACGTATAAATGTTAAACAGAAGAAACAGTGTAGGTCTTGGCATGCAGCCTTGTGAAACACAAGCATTAATTATCCGCCTATATCTTGATATATATATATATATATATATATATATATATATCTTGATGCTCCGATCTGCAAGAAAACTTGTGATCCAATTGCACAATTTTTCGGAAAGTCCATAGGAAAGAAGCTTTTAAAGAATTGCTTTATGCCAAAGCCACTCGACAGTCTTCGCTATATCTCAAATTAACGACCAAGGTCGGACTAGAGTCCAAGAGGGAGACCTTGATGAGTGGAACAGTAGACTGTTTCCACTCATCTATGAGTCAGGTAATTTAGAAGATTAGAACTAGAACTAGCTGATTAGTGATCGTATTGGCGGTCACTAATTAGCTGTTAGTCTTCAAACTACCTTGTAAGCTGGCAGTTTATAATGGATTCCATTATTTTGAAGAACAAGGTGGCGATGTGGTAAGCTATAAGTTGGCTGGTATGAGCGGTCGCCTTTTTAGTGATCGAGTGCACTAAAGATGACATCCATAAGTTCGGGATTACGCCTAGGGAGTACCGGAAAAGTCGCGTTAGAACCAGTGCTAACTCCGGAGCACCCATCTTTAGCACAATAGGAGGGACTCGATCAGGCCAATACGACGTGTTGAAGTCCAGGGGGAGGAGTTCTTTGTACACTGAGCGCTGTGTAAACCGTCCAGTATGGAGCAGTCTCTATTCCCTCACTCTCATAATCCGATGGGACGGTAAACCGACACGACCGGAGAAAGATCAGGCACAGGACCAACGGCTTTACGTGCTTTCCGAGGCACGGCGGTGAGACACCGGCAACTTCCTGACTCCGGGCAGCTACTAAGAATTTCTTGATAGAAAAGCTCAATGACTGATATTATTTTTAGCAAGACTTGGGATTCGAACCCGGAACCTCACGATCAGCAGTCGCACTACTACAATTACTAGACCAACGAGGCAGCCATATTATTATTATGTACATTTTATCATAATAATACCAAATAATACGTCATTCGCAACATATCTAGTTTAAATCATTAACAAAGTATACATAGATTTCTTGACTTACTCCCACAAACGCCCTACGAATTTCCTTGAATAGGCAATTAGGTTGTACATCGTCACAGCCTTTAACAAATCCGTCAGGTCGCTCACTCCATCTAGGTTAAGTTCATTAGGTTGTTAGTAGTTCATAAATTTGCTTTGATTAATATATTCCGCCCTTCGGGATTTACATTTAATTTACTGTACGCTAAATATTAATGTCTTACTGAACAATGTTTCCATTAGACAGTATAGTATATCGTAAGCAAAGTTTTTAATTCGCCCATTTAGAAACTGCTTCGTCCGCTTGCAATAAATGATCACGCGTTAGTAAAATGCCACCCGGCAAATTATTAAGGAGGCAGGTACATAATGCGGGAACGTTGTTTAACACAAAATTATTCTATTCTAATGATATGATAGCAGTTTATCATTGCTTAAAAACATGGATAAAACGACATTATGTAAAAATGAGTCCTAGCTATATCGATTTATTGGCCCCGAAACCCTCTGCATACTAAATTTTATGAAAATAGTTGGAGCCGTTTCCGAGATTCCGATTTTATATATATATATATATATATATATATATATATATATATATATATATATATATATATATATTAAGAATTGCTCATGTATAGGTATTGGATATTTTTTGTATTCGGAAAGTTTCAGCCTTTTAAAGTCAAGTTTATTAGAAAGAAGTTATGTATTTGTGGCGTTGGTAGATACCTCCTCCTCGTTAGACAGAGGAACCCTAAAAATATATTGTGGTAATGTGATTTTTAAATAAATAAAA